TGATAGATTTATTTTATTTTCTTTCAATTATGATATAGTAATAAATTTCATGAATTGAAAGTAAATATGATGAAATCTAAAAAAAAGCTCACTTTACACAAATTATTGATCCTGAGATATGATTGCTTATTTGGAATTGGTAAAAAAATTTTTAATCCAATTATTATGAATAATAAATATAAAAATTAAATAAATAAAAAGATAAAAGTTTTTCTGCATAAAATAATTAGTAATTAATTGAAGACTAAAAAAAAAGTTTTATCAAAAATGTCAATCATTTTAATTTAAGATTTTCGATAAAAATAATGTGAAGATAATTTGAATTAATCCAAGGTTTAAAGATAAAAATTGAATATTAAGTTACCTTGGGTGTGAATATTTTTCTAATGAAAAACATTTTTTCAGATGTAAATAAGAAAGAATGGAACATCGTCATGATAGAATAAAATGTAGATCAAATATACATGTGATGTGCGTTACAAGTGTTTAATGAATGTTGAGTATAAACAAGTAGTACAAAAAAAATATACATTACGGAAGCAGTGTCGCGGCATGAAGGCGACAGTAAAATAGAAATAGTGGGTAAGCACGCAAAAGGCGAGCGTGTGCCCTTCAGATCCACAATGATGGAACGTCTATTAGAAGAGCGATTGTTCTTATATAATGAACGGATCATGTAACTAGCTGTTCCACGGACTAACTTGTTGAGAAGACGCCTACACGCACGCGCAAATACTTACTAACTAGTTGCAGAGTGTACTATCACTTAGATAAATCGGTGAGGTTGTGATGTGGATGCATGCTGGTTCAATAATGTTGATGCACGTGTGAGGACATGTACGTTTGTATGAATAGCTAGAATACACCCAGTTGGTCTCAGTGTGTTAGCTACTAGTTAGTCAAGGCGTGAGTGAGCCGGAAAAGGCTTTTTACTTCTGGCCTTGAACGAAATGTATCCGCTGGCTTGACGAGAACTGTGGAAAATGAACCTTCATTTATAAGACTCTCTTCACTTCGACTTCATATTAAACATTCATTCACTTTTTCACCAACATCTTTTCTCTTATATACAATATCAACAATAATACTCTTGATCACAAATTTTATTTACTAATCATTTAATGACAACAAAAATTGTTTATCAGTCATAGTAAATTTCCATTGAATTGAGAAATTACAAGGAAAATAATACTCCAGGAAATTGGTAACAATCATAACTGTTGATGTTGATGATTTTCATTCAAATACACGCGAAAGATAGTGTTTAAAATAATTCCGTATTTGGATAAGACTTGAAGTATATGTCTATGATCATTAAATCGACAGAGTGCCGATATCGAACTGAGAAAGATAAAGACTGTGAGAATGGCACGACCCAATAGCGATAGAGCGATGGAAAAGCGCAGATGAATGCTCTGGCAAACTTCTTGAAGCGGTTAAAAGATGCCGTGACCTAATGACATGCTGTTAGGGTGAATAATATCGACTAGTTAGATCAGACAATAAATTGTAACACATACTTGTCCGGGTTATTTACTCACCCATGATAAAATAATTGATTCCAATTTTTGTCTTTTAGTTTTAAAAAATCGATTTCTCTAAGCTCTATCGTCTTACAGCAATTAATTTAAACGCGGTGTAATTTGAATTTTATTTGTTTGATGAATAACAAAAAAAGAATTAGTTTAACTGACTTTACAGCAAAATACTTTAGAATGGAATTATTTTGCGGCTCTCGATTTAGTCTTCAACATAATTTGGTGGACAAAAAATGGAGCGGAAACGCCGGGCCCCAGTGCGTCCCGCGTAACGAGCACACAAGTTGCTCAATTTTCTCTCCAACTCCGCGGAGCCTCGCCTTAATCAGTACTGGAGCGGTAATAGTTTCATGTGCACCAACTGGATCAGAGATGGACTATAATAATAATGTTAAATTTTTTTTTATTCAACAACTTTCTATTAAAATAAAATAATCATTCTTTTTAGCCCTGTTTCCTAAAAATTTTTATTCAAATGAAAACTTTTTTTTTTGTAAGAGTATTTGTTTAAAATACAAACAGTCAAAGTAAAAAGAAACATCACCATTCAACGAAAATTGAAATGAATGAACAAAGAAAAATTTATAGCTCTCTTAGATATAAAATAAAAGTGTTAAAAGATTTTAAAGAAGATTTCTTGGACTTTTTTCTCAGTCCTCATCATCTTCGTAGAAAGATTAATAGAGTGAACACGCGTGGCAAATGCGTTAAGGCCAGCTCAAGCCACGCATTTTAATTTTCTAGCCTCGACATTTGCGTAACCCAGTTTCACCATTGTTCGATTCAATGGTAGATCGTAACGTCCGCCGCACGACAGAGATTATAATGCGCGCCAACGAGAGAGTGTGTATGTATATGTTTAAGTATGCATAATGGATGTAACATATAATAGAGAGTATGTATATACGGGCAGAAAACCGATAAGAAGGTGACTTGTCAAGGAATTTACAAATTCATCAGCTTTCTCTCAGTTATAATAAATCTGCGAGTAAATATTCCGACATTAAACACTATGTACTATAGACAATACAATATCAACAGTGATGACAGATGCAACAATTGATTGTCATTCACATTACTCTCAAACATACTTTATAGATCATCTATATCTCTTGTAGCTGACATTACACGATTCAATGGATTTTTTCCGCGCACCCATCGTTGAGATTTGCCCGACTTGAATCAACAGGTGGTTCGCGCGCCCACGTGAGTGAGAAAAAGAAAGAATGAGGGCTGTATTACAAACTGGGATTGTCATTATTACGCCATAAAATAATGTCAAACTGTTTATCATTTTTACAATCATCCATTTTCATGTATGACATCCAAGAACATCAATAGTTCAGATAAAACTTTTCTATCATAGACATTAGAATGATTTAAAATCCAATTTACACAGTCAATTACCCTCTGGTGTTAGTGTTCAATAATCATTTTATCAAGACTGAGAGAGAAAAGAGAAAGAAAGACGTACAAGTTACCAGCAGCAGCAGGTTTTATCTGATCAATGTAACTGAAAGTAGAGTGCAGCACCTGCTGAGTAAAAGCTTGGGTCTTATATGAAATAGAGAAAAGTCCATTTAAGTGGTAGGGGAAGTTTCCTACTTCTCAACCGATTCATGCGCATGATCTACAACGCATGCGCAAACATCAAGGCCCAAATAAAAGAAAGAGATTGCAGCGATGTAATCTGCACGAGTGACCCTGAACTTCATCATTGCAGTAATCCACGCTAACGCATAGGGTACAGCAACAATTTCCTTATTCAGCGATTTTCTCGACGCGTATCATTATATATGCGCACGATCTATCAAGCTATAACTCTTACTCAAGGCTTTTTTGTAATAAAATTAAGTTTCAAGTCTTAGAGATACATCTGAGTACATTTAAGTATACAAATATCAGTATATGTGCACATATATCCGTTTATCACTCTTTTCTATGCACGCTCTACTTTGAGTGCTTCAATCAACAATTTCCCGTCAGATGATTGTCACTACCTGTTCTTTTCTGTCATGGCTTTCATTGGAAAATTGAGATGTATGAATTGCATTGTTATTCATCTACTTTTGTTCATTTTTACTTATGTAAAATATTCATCATGATAATTTTATGTGGTAAATAAATCAAGTTTATTAGTAAAGTAATTTTTGTTTTGACTTGGTAAAGAAATTTCTCTGATAAGTAAAATAAGTTAAATGCTTACTATACTACTGTTGTAACATACTTTGTCTATGTTTATTTTTCCTTTACATACTACAATGATTGTCATTATTTACAATAACTATAATAATTGTGATATCTACTCACAAATATATGTTTTACCGTTGTTATTATCTATATAAGTGAAAAATAGACTTGGAAGTGTACCCATAAAAAATAAATTATAAAGATTAGCGTGAGGTCTCCTCAAAGAGGTATTTCAACTGCCTATTACAATTACTCACTGTCCACCTATCGTTGATCCTCATTACCTGGACTTCCCACTTGTTCGTATGGCACATGACTCGATCCCTCACCTTGATGAATAATTATTTATGTCGATCGCGGAAGGTTCCTACTTAATAATTCAACAACAATTCATGTGCTAAGATTTTTTTAATGCTTTACATATTCTGCGTTGATGCTATCAATTGTGTACAATTTTCTCGCCTTCACTAGTCTTCCTCATTGCTTTGATGATCATCAGCAATTGACAGGCATTACGTATTTTAAACATACCTAGTTGACTCTCTTACAAAGCCACATGAGTGTGATGCCAGCTTCGTGACTCTTACCCAAGGTCTCCCCTTTCCAATTCCAACCGAAGGTCGTCTTCGTTGTCTGGGACCGAGTAAAAATTTTCATTTTCAAGTTAAAGTTTTTCTTAAAGCTTTTTTATAGACATTAAAGCAACGAAAGATGTCATATTATTCATCCGATTTCATTTATTCTTATGACATTGGTGTAGATATTTTCATGATGTGGTGAGTTGAATATTCATTAAAAGAACTTATCATAATAAAATGTATTGTTTATATTATTATCTATTATTGCGTTCCCATTGTAATTATAGCTCAATCAGTACTGGTATTAAAACGTAATCAATGCATCGATTAAAATGATTGACAAGAACGATTATATCATTGAAATTACGTGATGTTTTTATGAAATAATTTTCTGACCACTTAGTCACATATTTAACACTTTTTCACTACATTGTAATAAAAAAAAACCTGGCGTGATAAAAAAGAAAATAAAAGTCATTTTCTATTACGTAAAAATGTTTTGAAGAAGGTCATAGAAAATAATAAATGGATTGATGACTGATGAATTATCGAAATTCTTAGAAAAAAGTGAAAGGAATGATCCTATCATTATATCTTATTCAATGATGCCACTGCAACATAAAATATGTTAAACTATGATAAATTAACTTTACTAATTTTCCTCTTTATAATTTTTTGTTACTTTTATTTTCAGACGATGTATACGGACGGTTTACTGACTCTTCATTATGGGAAGCATCCCGCAACCTTAGCCGCTGAGGTTGGAGCTTGGTACAGTGGTGATCGTCATGTTGACGTGACTCTTGCTTGTGACGATGGTTCTGTCGTCAGAGCTCACCGGGTCGTTTTAGCTGCAGCTAGTCCTCTTTTGGCTAGTCTTCTTCGGAATCCAGCGTTGGACCATGTGGTTCACTTGTCTGGAGTTAAAACAACTCAGCTTCACCATCTTCTGGAATTTCTTTATAATGGTGAAGCTCTCATACCTGTAAGTAACATTTTTATGATATTTTTTTTTTCATTTATTCATTCTGTCCATCAATCTTTATTATTGATTTTTTTTCTCTAATTTATAGTCTTCCGAGCTCACACCTTTGAGAGAGCTCTTTGAACTTCTTCAGATCAAGTCAGAATTATTTGATCCGAATCAACCACAAACTTCAACAGATTCAGATTCCCTTAGGATACCAACGCCACAACCTTCAGACAGTCAAGAAAGTTCTAGTTATGAATCTCAGTATGACAGCAGGTTTGTTGTTAATTGATTTATATCGATAATGGTGATGATTGATTGATGTATTTATTGAATTGAATTTCATTTATAGGCAATCGAATAACCCTGCTGACTGTTGTTCAGTGCTGATAAAAAGCGAAGGCTGTGATGATGAACCAGAGCAAGAAGTTGATGTTGAAGGAGTTGAAGGAGATACGATTCTTTCGGATAATAGAGAAGGCAGCATTGAACCACCAAGAAGAAGGGATAGTTCTGATCCAGTCAATCTTAGTCTTAATTCTGGTACATCAGCTAAAAGTGACAGTTCACATGAAGTGTCTCAGAGGTGAGATTGAAGAAGATGAATTGAATCTTACTATCAAATTGGTAACCATTAATTTAAAATAAAAAAACCACACGAATTATTTAAATTATTACTTAAGTCATTTTTTATTAATATAACAACAATTGAATGAAATATTTGTTTATATTCAAACGTTAATTTCATGTTTACTTTAAATAGATAAAAAGTAGCAGGTATGCAACCTGGTTGATAAGTTATTAAGATAAAATTCTTTTAAGTAACGTTTGATGGCGCCACCGAACAGTCTAGCTAGTAAATTTAAAAAAGATACCTTGTGAAAACACATCATATAAAATATGATAATATTATCGTTAATATAATATAGATGAATGAATTAAAATGATTTATTGATTTTAGGCCAGAAAAGACTCTTCTTGAGAGGCGAGAATCCTTAGAAGAAGCAGAAGAAAGACGGAGACAATTAGCAGCTCGTCTTTCGCTTGGCTTAGAACAAGGAAAACGAAAACCTGAAGAAATACCTATCCCACCTGCAGAAGCTTATGTTGTGACACCTCATCGAAAAAGACGACCAGGTTTTCACAATGCTCCTGCACAGAACCCAGCTTTTGTACCTTTTAATCCTGGATTCGAAACGCCTCGGCGATTAGCAGCGCCTCATCCTCTAAGTGTTTCAGCACCACCATACCTGGTAAGTTTCACCAATATTGATAATTAATACATTTAACACATAACCAGACTTAAATTTGATTATAAATTAATTAATAATTTGAAATTTTTAGCAGGACAGGTCACTTACGCCACCAGGAGGTTCGCATCGGCCACCCAGTGCAGATCCGGCATCAGCAGCAAGCTTAGAACCACCTTGGGGTGCATGGACACTTCCCTCGACGCGAGCACCACCTCCACCATCAACTGATGACCCACCGAAATGTAATCCTGTCCGCGAGTACCGTTGTACATATTGCGGAAAACAATTTGGAATGTCTTGGAATTTAAAAACTCACCTACGAGTTCATACTGGAGAAAAACCTTTTGCATGTCGTCTGTGTGTAGCTATGTTTAAACAAAAAGCTCATCTTCTCAAGCATCTTTGCTCAGTACACAGAGGCGTTATTGCAGCACCCGACAACACATTTACATGTTGCTTTTGCTCTTGCAACTTTGACAGTCTGCAAGAGCTCATAAGACATCTTTCTGGTCCGCATAACAATCTTCTTCTTAGCAAAAATCTTCATGACTAACGACGGCATTAAAGGTCTACCGGTGTTGAGTCATTTATTTTGTTTGTTATTTTCATAACAGAATTCTTTTTACTTATTCTAAGAATCTTTAGTACAAAAAAAATGTCTTTTGTAGGAACGAAAATACTATCTTTAAAGGTTTTTTATGTTCTCACAAATAAATTTTTGTCTTGTAAAATATGTATTAATTTTATGAAATTTTTACATAATATAGGAAGACATCGGTCAGACCTTAATTAAATTGTGTCGAAAATATGTTATTGGTCAAAAAGTTGACAATAATTGTTAAAAAGAGATACTTTTCATTAAAAAAGAAAAAATTGAAGCGAGGATTTGCCAAGAGAAAGTGAGTTGAGAATATAAATATTAAAGCTCAGTTCACCTGAAAAGAATTAATCGAAAATAAGTGAATAATTCACGAAAGATAAATAAAAATTAAAACAAACTATTGAATAGACATTAAATACCAAGAAAAAATGAACGAAAGGTTAAAAATAAATGCTAAGAGAAAAAAATAAATGTGGCAGAAAATGAATGTGGCAGAACAGACATATCGTTTTATTAACGATTATGTTATTTATACTTCAAAAAGACATTCAACAGATATCTGTTGAAGTCTTTGAATTTTGCTTGTAAATAATGTTGTATAATTCTAGATTCGAAATGGACATTATTATTATTTATTTAACAATTACAAAGGGACCAACCGACTTTCCACCGATTCTGTCTTAAGTAGTAATTAGTTTCCTGCCCTCTATCGTCGTTAGATTGAAAGTAGTGAGCTTTCACTAAAAAAAGAAATATTAAGAGATTTTATCAAATCCTCTCGATATTAATCAATAATTAAATTAATAATGAAGTAAGTTATAAATTGATAATTAGTAATTAATATTAATTATTAATTATGATTAATAATAAAATGATGACCACCGAGTTTGAAACCTCAAAAAAGCTCTATTGCTGTTTAAAATAATTTAAAATGTTAATTAACTTTTTAGAAAGAAATTTGTAAATGTAAATATGAGACCTTCAGCAATGCAAGTGCCTTGTTAAGTTGGGTCCAAATGAGGTCGATTGGGCAGTGATTTCATGTGTTCATAGGCTTAAGTGTGTACGAAAGTATGCCCGCTTTAGAAATGTCGTAAATCAATAAATTAAATATATTATGCAGGTTAATTAATTGTAATTAGATAATTAATTTTAAACTAAATAAGTACGAATCACATTGGTAGATTGTAATATGGTGACATAGCTTTGGCGCAGGACGTCAGATTTTTTAATTAAATCTCCAGGTGCCTTTAATAACTTGGCCTGTTTTGTTTATTATGTTGAAAAGAAAATTATTAAAACAAAACAAATTCTCGAGCTTGTATAAAATTTTTCTCCTTTAGATTTTTGTGATTTTATATTCAATTGTCACATCAGTGAGGTATTTTCATGAAAATTATATTTTTTGTATCGCGTGAAATAGTAACTAAATAAAATTTATACTGCTCAAGAATTGATTTTGTATTGCAATAATTTTAGTTCTCAATATAGAATTTTTGTAATGTATGTAAATATTATTCTTACGCCTCTTAATGAAAATCGACAATTAATTTGTTTTATTAAAAAAAGTGGATATTAAGAAAAATAAATTGTAATTATTGGAAAAAGATTTATAAAGTTGGTAGATCGAGTTTGATTTGAATTTAACAAAAAATAATTGAATAGATAATTGAGATAAAATTGTAAGAAACTTAGAGTATTATGGATTGGATATGGTCAGGGATAAAAATTAAGATGTTGAATATAAATGGTAAAAAGGACTTTGTGTATAAAAAAAGAGAATAGAATAAATAAAAATAAAGAGGCAAAAGTACATGGAGAAAAAATTCATCGTGCCGCGAAATACCCCAGCAGAATGCATAATCAATAGCACACATACATATACATAATTCTATCTTCTGAAGCAGTACACCAAAGATATGTTCGTAGGTCTGTTCAAGTGGATAGTGAATAAGATATTAATTCTTTGTCATGTAGGAGTAACAAATTATTAAAGATTGGTAGAGACAAAAATTTACAAACAAAAACAATGTGACCTGATAATAATGGTTATGATGATATAAAAACAATTAATTAATACCTACGACAGATCGTTGTACACTCATATCAGCCAATAAGATATCTAATAAAAACAATAAAAAATTTTAGTAAAAAAAATTTACTGTTCTTTTTTGTTTTATGCATTCTATTGAATTTATTACTAATAAAAGTCGTTTGATGATTAAATAATTATTTTGAATTAATTTATTCACTATGAAAATATCTGCACAAAAAAATTTCTGTGAATTTTAATATAAATGAATTGTATAAAAATGAAAATCCTAACAGTAGTAATTTAGTAAAAGAAACCAGCTAAGAGAAGTTATCAATAATAAAAACAGTGAACACAATGTGATACTAAATGATAATGATTAATAAATAAATTATTATTTAGCATTAACAATGCTTAGTTACACGCACATTTAAATTCAATTAGTAATCGATGATGATAACTTTTGGAATCTAGAATTCTTTTGAATTTTTGCACATAATATTGTACTAAGTTTAAAGGTGTTTACATTGTCAGCAACTGATTAATTGTATATATTTATGTTCAACCACCCAAGTACTCTGTAAAATATTTCTTCGTTCTGTCAAATAATCTAACTATACAGTAACAAAGAAATTCTATTATAAAAAATAAGAATAAAAATTTATTTGTCAATTAATAAATGTTTATTATTAATAGCAAACCAATTTTTCAAACAATTTCTTTATTGCAAAATTGAATTAAACAGAGATTGAATGTATATTTTGAAGAATACTTGGGTGTAATAATTAACTCCAAGACATTTCAAAATCCAAGCATGTTTTCCTAGCGTTTATATAGATTTATAAAAAATAAATTAATTGAAGAAACCGAATCAGTACAAAAACAGTGAACAATTAGTAAAATTAAATGAAAGTTACCTACCAATCTTATCCAGCAAATAACAAGCTAACGGAGTCAACTATTGTGCTAAGGGACATTCTAGAAGACCGTTAAATTGGGCTCAACTCCAGGCAGAATGAAAGAATATGCAAAGCACATGGTCTCGAAGAATCGCGCCACGATAGTCTTATGCAAGAAGCGAATCCTCAATAAATAATTAATGTCTTATGAGCCAGTTGTAAAGGCGATTTCCTGTGCAGTTTCAGTACTTATTGCAACCACCTGTCTTTCCTCCAGCTTTATAAATCTTTTCTATTTATGGAACTGCTAGAACATCCTGCGAATCGACAAGTGCAACTGTGTTCTTTCTTGGTATAAAATAAAACACGCCTATGGTATCATTGGAAATCTAATCTCTAGAATGCCAATGAAATTCTTTTAATGGTTTTTTCTCTCTTTTCTTTCAAAAGACAATTTATTTTCAAATGTTCTGAATCTTTTTTGATCTGATAATTATTCGCTACATGTTCCCTTACCTCTAAATAATCTTAAGAAAGCTAATCTCCATGATAATGATAAATGAGTTTGCTATAAATTTACAATAAACACGTGAAAAAAGATGCTTCCTCTTATTGCTCCATAATTTACTAACACTCGTAAACTTAATCATGAAAAGCAACGAGAGGGCTTTGACCACTTTACCAAGTTGCCCGCAAAAGTTCAATATACTCACCAGGACGACTGGCACTTTTTATTGGACGTTTTTTCTCCTTTTACACCATTCGGCTTTAAGAAGAAAGGAATTTAAAAGTAAACAAAGGTTATGTCGTAAGGGAGATTGAAAAAAAATCTCAATACCTTAAAAGTATCTATTATCTTATTTCTCCGTAAGAATGATGTTTATTAGTCACTTCTGAAGCTTTCTAGCGCTATCTAAGGCTGTTAATTTTATAGATAAATCACTTGAAGCTATGACCTTGTCATTATGGTAATGAACTCAAACGCTAAGAAAACCGGTAGATGAGACATCTCAGATTGCAGGGGTCGTCGTACTATTGCCAATCAAACGTAAGGGCACGTGTGGTCTCACTTGATGGTCTCGACAGAGTAACCTCTAGACTACGTCAAGTGATACAGTCACGTCTCGACCAATGACCATCATTCTTGACATGCTACAGGCTTTGGCTTCTGGCCCATCTATTCGAAGACCGGTACCGTAACCCAAGAGAGTATTCAAGCTGTGGTAAAGTCTTCATGGAGCCTCACACATTGGAGAATCAACAAGGATTGAGGAGAGGTCGAGAAGGTATGCGAGGGGGGCAAAGTGTCCGGTCAACGCTCCTCGCCTTCTGTCGTTAATGTATAAAAGCCAGAAGATCGCACATCCTTACAACAGACCGTTCAGAAATGTTGAAGACGATTGTACTTGCTGCCTGTGTCCTGACGATTGTCAGGGCTCAAGTGCCTAGTTTAGGATGGTGTCCGGACTACGTTCCTATGGCTAATTTTGATATGGCAAAGGTGATTACATTTTCATTTTTTATTTCATTTTAATCAATTTATTCGACATCTCGATTCTATTTATTTTTTCAATTTAAAATCAATCCTTTTCAATTCAATTTTTTTTAATCTTAATTTATGTATTACCACAATAATTAACAACTTGATTAAATAATTGTCTAAAAAAGATATAGAATGAGTAAAATTAAATATTATCTAAATCTATAATTTCAGTTCCTGGGTACTTGGTATGAAGCTGAAAGATATTTCCAACTTTCTGAGGTCGTTTCACGTTGCGTGATGGCCAACTACTCTAAAGGGGCTGATAACAAGTTGCGTGTTAGTAACGAAGTCACTAACAGATTGTAAGTAATCATTTCACCATCTTTATTACCCTCGTTAGTACTAGAAAAATTGATTACTTTACTGTGTTTTTATTATCCCCATCTAGCACTGGAATAAAACGGGTTTTAGAGGGTGAGATTAAACCACCAGCATCTAAAGCTGAAGAAGGAAAGCTGCACGTTAAATACAGTCTTCCCCTCACTCCAGAAACATCTTATGCAGTGTTGGAAACAGATTATAAGAGTTATGCTGTCTTGTGGAGCTGTACTGGTCTTGGACCGGTTCACACCCAAAATGCTTGGATTATGACTAGAGAACGTCGTCCGCCGGGAGAAGTTTTACAAAAGGTATTGAAAATTGTTTTTTTTATTTCAAAAAGTCATAGTAAAATTGAAATGATTAATAAATACTAATTTTTTCAATCATTTTCTTGATAGGCTTATGGAGTTTTGGATAAATATAAGATTTCCAAAACATTCTTTGTAAAATCTGACCAAGAAGATTGTGCATATTTAGACACTCCACCTTCTAAATTTGATGAAAAACCAACGCCTGAACCAGTACCAGTTGAGGAACCAATTGTTGAAAATGTGTCAGAACAGAAACTAAGAACTGCAATTAATCCTGATACACCAGAAATTATTTTAGAAACCAGAAAAGCTGAATTAGCTGAAGCTGCTGCTGCTGCTGCTGTTGTGGCTATGACTAATGATGAAGAAGACGAACCAAAAGATGAACCTGCAATCCAAGTTGTAAAAAATGAACCTTCAAACAAAGAAGCACCTGAAGATAAAAAAGAAGAACATCAACAACAAGTACCTGTTTCAGTCGCTGAAATTATTATCAAAACAGCAGAAATCCCTGAAAAAGAAACTTCCAAACCAAAAGAAGAAGAACCCTCATTAGTTCTTGCTGATGCACCAAAAATAGAAAAACCTGCAGAAGTATTGAAAGAAAACAAAAAGCAATAAACTTGAGTCGTACTAATGTTGATATTAAATTATAATATTTAAGATGAAATAAAGAAACTATAAGATTACTATTATCGATACATATAACTTGAAAGAAAAAAGATTGACAAGTTGCCAGACTTGTAGCAGTACTTAAGATAAAACCAGTCTCGTCTGTCATGCATCAAGTTCAATATTATTCTCTGAGATTACGTATAGTTAATGTAGACTGAATGCCGAAAAAATACGTAGTAAAAATAAAAAAAAAACAAAACAAATTAAAATAAAATAAAAAATATATTATAAAATATGTACAAAATGAAAAAAAAAGTGTGAATAAATTGTTATATAAAATTTTTACCAATTTAGTTTTTGTATTCATTTTCTTTTACTTTTCTGTGAATAAACTATTGTAAATTTAATTATAAATGAAAGACATGCTACTGTAATTTTAATTTTGGACATTATCTCATATATCTCATGATTTATTAAATGTGCATCTAAGTAATGACTCGATCATGTGGTAAATTATTTTTTAATAATAAATTGTTTTACAGCTATGACTAACATTTATTACTAAGATATACGAGCGAAATACGAGAAAAAATTAGATTTTATGATCACAGTTACAATCACCACAAGCATCTGCTGCCTTGACAATACAGCATCTGTGCGAGGGTAAAAACTTTTGCAGCTTTATTATTAATGGAGATGTAGACTACAATAGAGGTAAAAAATATTTATTGATAAATCATCATATTACAAATTAAGTATGACAGTAGGATGTTACTGTATTTATTTATCATTATTTATACCACTACATAAACACCCAACTTCACTGTTATTATTTTTTTTTTTGTTCATTCTAATTAGATTGGACTAGGAAGTGAGTGCTTGGATAGCTCAACTTTTTTTTGAATAACTATTAATCAATCTATTAAATAATAGTTTTTACAGTAATTCCAACCATAAACTGGTTTTTCAGCCACAATAACCGATAAGAAACGGTATGATAGTGAATTTTTAAATTCGTGAACAGCCGATCGGTGTTTGTGGAACCTGCAAGTTCCCGTTACTGACCTACTAACTGGAAAAAACATCAACGACAAGAGTTTGTTGGTTTCCAAGGCCAGTCAACGACACACCGCACGTACGAGAAGTTCGAAGGTCTCTTGTTCTTGAATCATTTAAAAGTCTAAAAGTATTTATAGTATATTATTTATACTATAAGTAACAAGTTCCTGGGTCACTATTGGTCAAGGATAATTAAGTAAACAATCAGGTGAGAGGGGATAATTACTGTAATTTAGCGGTCGTTGGCTTTGAATACTATTATTTTTTGATTAATGGTAATACTGATAAAATAAATACGTATGAATATATTAGTGACTTTTTTCGGGTAAATTATGCGACTTTGATTTATTGTGATCTTGTTAATGTGAATTTATTTTCGTATTTCAGAGATAAATTATGATTTGGATACCTTTAATCTTCTTGACACTTGTAGGCAGTATCAATGCTTTATTGCCTACTTTTGGTCCTTGTCCTGATGTTAAACCAATGGAAAGCTTGGATTACTCTAGAGTAAGTTTAAAATTAATTATACATCTGTAATTGATTGATTAAAAAAAAGAAAGAAAATTATTTCTTTGTTCTTTGTAAAAGTTGACAGAAGTATGATATTTATATTTTCACTGTGCTAAATTTTGTGCTCGCAATTATTAAGCCATGGTGTTGTGACAATGAATGACATTTAAATAGCTCAAATGAAAGCATTAAATAAAATAAATCGATATACAATGTATTTATAATTGTTCATCATTATCAATGACTAAGATCGTGGGAAATACTTATTAACTGCATACACTGATTATATTTAGAAAGTTGTTCTCAATTTTATTTTAAAGTGAGCATAATTATGCATGATATTGAGATTGTAAATTGGAGCTTAGTAAAATATTTTTATACTTTTTAGTATTTAGGAAAGTGGTACGAGGCTGAAAAATATTTTTCTATCATTGATTTTGGAGCCAGATGTGGAACCTTCAATTACAGTAAAGATGAAAATGGAGCATTGAAACTGGTTAATTCACAAATTTCTGCACTGTAAGTAAAGATATTAAAATTTTTTTTTTCACAATGTCATTAAGAATAACTTTATCAAATATATTTTATGCTCTAGAACTGGGATTGAATCAACTATTGAAGGCCGTGCCAGGCCAATTGAAAGAGCTGATGATCCTAAATTTTCTGTATCTTATCCTTCATTACCAATAAATTACCCAACTCCCCACTGGGTCTTAGGGACTGACTATAATAATTATGCTGTTTTATGGAGCTGTTCAAACATGGGACTTCTCAGGTAAATAAAGAAGAAACTCATAAAATAATGATTAAAGAAATTACTGAATAGAAATTTTACATGATTTTTTGTTTTCTTTTAAATTGCAACTTTTCCTTTTTGTGGTAGTTTAAAAAGTGCTTGGATTTTAACAAGAGAACGACATCCACCTGTTTCAGTTCTAGAAGCAGCTTACAAAATATTAGATAGAAATCAAATAAGTAGAGCATACTTTTCACGGACTGATCAGAAAAATTGTCCAGCAAGTAAAGAAAGAAATTTTTTAATTCGAACATATAGAAAAGTAAGCAAGTATTGAATATTATTATTATTTATTGTTAAAGAGTACAAGGAAAATGTTGTATTTTTTAAATTTAAATATAGACGTGATATATTGTTTGTACTATTTATCTTTTAACTTAATAAATTCTATTTATTAAAAAAGTCATTTTGTTTAATGTTTTTTATGTTGGTTGAGGATCATCATCATTTATAAAAACAGTAATTGAATATTTTATGAAATGCAGAAAAGTAATTAACTCTCTAATTTTTTACTGTAATATGTTGTGAGTGAAATTCTTTATGAAACTGTGTTATCCTAATAAGTTTGTATCTTCGTGTGCAATTTTTTTTGATCTGCTCATGTCTTTGATGTTCCTTAGCACAGTTTTTTCTTAACTTAAATGAAAGCCTTATTTTTACACTTGCTTCTAAACACTTTCAATGCTCACTAGTTTAAACTCTCAATTAGCAGTGACAGATTCAAATAAATATGCATTTTTTCGTGACGCTTATAAGCTATGTCATTTGTTCAGAAATATGAAGTCACATGTGTAGAATTTTTACATCATCTTTTAGCTAATTGGACATAAAATAATTTTATTTATTTTTGGTATAATTTTTTTCGATTTTAATCATGACAACCACGATAATTTCATTAATTTAAATTTACTATTATGAATCATCTTATTTTTTGTTCATGTACATAATAACGATCGATTGTAGTAAAATAAGTTTTTTTTAATTAACAAAGGTATTATAATTGAATTGTCATTTTTTATAAACTTCTATAGATACTTTGAAATTAAACATTGTTCAAACAAACATAAGTTAAAGGAAAACTATATTTCTTATAACTACTCTCTAAAGAATAATGTAACAATAAAAATTAATGTTCTTAGTATTCAATTATGATAGATAAGTTTACAACCATTAAATACTGTTCAGTAGCTAATAAATAATTTCTAATACAGGATCAGTAATAAATTTCCAAGCATATGCAATTTCATTAATTAATCATTTACTAACAGTAACTCATTTGAAATTATCACAATATGCTGAACCAGCTGAGTTAATTGAGACAGTACTTGATACAGAATATTACAATTATTATGTAAAAGTTGGATGTCAGGTGAAGAATGGCACTAGGTAGAAAAATAATAATTAATGACGATTAGTATTCTTTCTAATTTCCTTAGAATCAATTATTGTGCTGTTTATTTTATCATTATTTTTGCATAAATAAAATTAAAAAGAACATTTTTTCATCATAAACATCTAAAATATGTTCATTATAATATGAATGATTATTTTATTTCTACATGTCTCTTTTGGAAATTTCATTAATACCGTTATTCTAATTTATAGAAACTGTCATTTAATTTATTAATATTTCAATTTTATAGAGTAGAAATATATATATTTTTTAATTTTAAAATAACATAATGATTTCAATTTCAGATTTATCGCCATGTCATTTACCAATAGATTAATGAAATATATCTCATTTAATTAGATCTAGATTCAATAATATCTTGACAATTCATCAACTCCTCTAAATTGTTTCGACATCTCATTTTAATAGATAATGAGCTTTTGCATGCGAAATCGCAATAACTAGGTTATTAAACTAAGAATGATATAATATAACTAATAAGTTAGTTGTAAATCACAAGCTTATTAAGCATTCATAATAATTACAACTGAATTATTTTTCTAATGAATGAAACCTAACTTTCAATTCTCTATGAATGGTATTCTCCTTATTAATAAGTCATTTCTTTCAATATGCACAGAGAGAATTTTTTTATTAAATGTAAGTTCAAAAAGTGACAAGTCCACGTTTCGAAATTTAGAAATAAAAATATTTCTATTCGATAGTTACTTTTGAGTTCTTGTAAGTAAATTTGAGACTTAAAAGGTATCTTATATTAGTATAAGAATTATTTAGGATAACTAAAAAATTACGAAATTGGAAAAATTTGGTATAAACTTTTTTTAAGTTGCATTTAATAGTAATGTAAATTATGTTCAGTATAATTTAATGTAATGCTTATGTTTGTCTGTCTATATCATTACTAATTTTTAGTTTAAGAATAATTAATTATTTATATTACAATTGATATTTTTTAATTCGTTAATAATTTTTTCTCATAGAAAAAAAATGATTGTAAATGTTTTTATCTCAATTTGATCTGCTTGTGGACATTATCTCGACAAAAATCTTCTACATCTAGTTGTAGCTAAATTTTTAGATAACGTTAAATAATAAAAGAACAATGATAGACTATAATCTTCCAAAATCTGAATCGATGACTGATAATCAAAAATATTATCTATGTCATTGTAATGTGATGTAATGTGAATTATATTATTTAAATGTATTTAAGTTATCATATTTGATATCTCATATTATTGTTGAATCTGTTGTTTTTCACTTAATTTCTAAAAATTTATCATAATATCTGATGATAAAAGTTTATAAATAAATCAATTATGTAGAAAAATGATTAAAATTATCACACAATAATATGTACTTTGTATTACTGGATTTAGAAAATAAAAATAATCTAGATTTCTTAACCATATTTAACAATTATCTTAACTCTTTCTAATTAATTGAATGGAAAATATATTACTTGAAAGACACGTGTAAAGGATTTTTTTGTTATCTTAACAATCAATAATTTATATTTTGGTAAAACTATATATTTATTCTCAAAGCGGAATATTCTTTTTCAGGGTCCATGTAGTTTTAAACATTACGAAATTTGAACAATAATTTGAATAGAAATTTCTGGTATAAAATTGATTGTAATCATGGATAATACGATTTACCTGATTACATACTGAATGCATTAATGTATTCATGGCAAATAAGATAAAATTAATTTCAACCCATTCTTATCTTCTGATATGAACAAAAATGAAAAAAAAAGTATTTCAACAATTAGAGCTTTGGAATTTTCCACGTATTTTATTACAATAATATCTGATTCTTTTATAGTTTAATTAAACAACAGGATTGATGAAAAAATATTAGAGTAATCTTTCAAACAATTTTTCAAAATTATTTTTTAATGTAAAGAAACTTTTTTCGATATTACCTGTTATAATAATTTATAAAAAAATTTCCGATCCGGGTAAATGAATCTTACCATAGTAATAAAAATCAGTTAACTACAAATACTTCAGAAAAAATCTGAATATAACAAAAACTTGAACTTTATACAATTGATAGTTGAACGCATATTTAAAAGATTTGAAGGACTTCTCAGCTATCGATAAAAATATTTTTCTCGAGGTCAAAAAATTCAGCAAGAAACAAGTATCTTTCTTAAGAATGAGTGATATTATTAAAATAAATAGTCCATAAGTACACAAGGATTAAACATTTAGTTCCGTATTGTTGATAATTTTTCTATGTCAATTATTAAATGAATCATAGATGGCAAATATGATATGATTTTAATGTGGCATGATTCATCAATTTCCTCCTGATCTAATTTTACGTAACTGTCAAGTCAACATCAAATATTCTGAAATAGCGATACAGTCGTATATGTTATTTGTTCAACGTGCAATATTCGGCAGGAGTATTGATATAAAACGATAATAAACATTTGTCTTGTGTCACGTTTGCCTTGGAGTATAAGAGATAATAAAAAGCGCTGTTACAAAGTGACGATATTAGTTCTGCTTTTGCCTTCAGACTATAGACACTTCTGGTTAATTATATGAATTATCATCACTCATAAAGTTTTTGATTTTTGCACTGAACCGACACATTAAAGATTCAAAATGCTGATAATTTTATTAAGTTGTCTTCTAATTCTTAGCACTTCTGCTCAATCAATACACATTGGACGTTGTCCAGATGTAAACGTTGTTCAATCACTAGATGTAAATAAAGTGAGTATGATTATTCATGAAATTAAATAATTCAAAGTTTTGTGAAATTGAAACAATGATTAAACTATCGATTCATTTATCCAACACTAAAGTATACAGGAGTTTGGTACGAATATGAAAGAAGCTTTCCAAACCCTTTCGAATTTGCTGGTAAATGTGTGACCGCCAATTACACTATGGGAGAAAATGACACAATAATTGTTGTCAACAGTCAAATATCATCAATGTAAGAATTATTGATATAAGTTACATAATGCTTTTATTTACTTTTATTATTTACAACAAGTGGGCTTATCATGTTAACACTGTCAATTCTTAGAACTGGAAAACCATCGTCAATTAAAGGAACAGCTGAGGTGGATGATGCAGCCTGTGGTAACTCGACAGGATGTGGAAAATTAATAGTCAAATTTCCAGTGCCAATAGTTGGTCAAGTCAAAGGAACTTATTGGGTTCTTGATACTGATTATACTACGTATAGTGCTGTATGGAGCTGTACAGATTATTACTTATTCCAGTAAGATAATTAACTTGACTTTGCTTAAAGAAAACAACTATGACATTATTTTTTGATTTTCTTAATAATATGCGAAATATTTTTTAGCACTGTATACGCTTGGGTATTGACAAGAGAACAGAACCCCACACAAGCAGTTTTAGATACTGCTAGAAATGTATTTTTAGAAAATAACGTTGATTGGATCTACATGACTAAAACCGATCAGGAAAATTGTTCGTAATTGTACCTCATGCTAGTGAATATATTAATAGCCTACAATAATAACGAGTCAATGATACTATATGAAAAATAAAGCAATTATATTTTCATGATGTGTAACTTTATTTTTATTTGAAAATAAAATTTGTGTATAAAATACATTATGTTGGATAATTCAATTTATTGTAGGTCGCATGTAAAGATGAATTTACAACCTTCCTCCTGATATATACTATTTTTAAAACTGAAAGAATAATGGTTTATTTTTACTGTTGAAGTTAATATTGATTTAATTAATAAATTTACTATTAAAAATGAGTTATTTTTAAATAATAGCCCGTATGAAAGAATTTTCGACATATCCCCATGTAAACTTTGATTTTACTTCCCGGTTAACTTTCTCTATAAAGCAAAACGTCTCGCTTTATTAACTTCTAAACTGAGAATAAAATTGAAATTTTCATGACGAAAAGATGTGTTTATACCATGAAAATAAACATATAGTACTTCTATCCGCAAGATCTATTTGTATCAATTTAACAAAATATTATTATTAATTAAAAATTTTACAATTAATCTTATAATTAGAATAAAAAAATAATTATTAACAACAAAGCAAACAGTTTAAATTTTAGTCAATATAGCTTAAATAAAAAGGTATACAGTAAGATGGATCATTTATTTACTAAATTATCTAGTTTTCGAAGTCAAAAAATTATTTAAATTAATATATAGAAAAATTTTATTACATATATATCGTTTTTGCAAGTAGAGAACTTTTAAAAAACGTTCGGAGTAAGAAAGAAGGATTTTTCTATACGGAAGTTAAAACGCATTTGATATAATTTAAACACCTTATATATCTAGCCAAGATTTTAAATTCAAGCATATAACAGAAGGTATCAATTATCATTTAACTCTATTCAATTGAAAACAGAAAAATAAATCATTTAAACTAATAATACGCAAAAAAACTGTTCAATGAATTAAACTATCCATTATACTGTATAAAGAGTGTCATTGTTTTTAGTTGTTAAAAAGAATGTAAAATATGTTGAATATTCCTAACTGCATAGATTATTCAATTTCTATTTATTATTATCGGCAAAATAATCAAGAAATTATGGTTATTAAATGATAACATTGTGCACTAGTTACGTAGTATCTTGAAGCTTTCAGAACATATAGTCAACATTTAAAATCAACCATTTAAAAAAATTATCCTTCAATTTTACAAATATTTTATTATAATTTCAGTAATAAAGTCAAAATTAAAATTAATAATTCTTGACCAGTTGCAATAATGTTACTGTTGCAATTATTTGTTATTGGTTGGTCTCTCCAAACCATTGCAACTCAAACAGCAGAAACAGGTCCTTGTCCACATGTCAAAGTAGTTCAGAATTTTAACGTAGAAAAAGTAAGTTACAAAAACATTTGTTTTATCCAACTTCAATCATTAATCCTCATTATTAATCTATTGCTAGTTTATGGGATTGTGGTTTGAATTAAGTAGAAGTTTACCTAATACTTATGAGCCTGGTACCGAATGTGTCACTTATAATTATACTGTAGATTCTTATGACTTTATCAGGATTGTAGCAAGACAGTTTTCATCTGAGTAAGTAACATTTGTTCACTAAATAAGTCTTTTGTAATGAGTTCTATTCAGAAAAATACAACTGTCATGTTCAATTTTAGAACTAGAATAGAATCTCAGTACATAGGCAATGCCACAATAGATGTTGAAAGTTGTGCACACATGAAACCCTGTGGAAAGATGAAAGTAGCTTATTTGAGACCAGATGGAACAACAATCATAGGACCGTTATGGGTTCTTGCTATTGACTATAACAGTTTTGCTGTACTTTGGAGTTGTACTGAACATAATAATGGATTGGCACAGTAAGATCTACAGATAATCAGCTAAACTTTGCTTAATGACACCTGTGTTTATTTTATGATAATTTTTCGTAGTTCAAGGAGAGCTTGGGTAATTTCAAAGATGCCACATCCACCAGATTCTTATATTGAAGGTGCACAGAATGTATTAGCAGCTGACAATATCACTGATATTGAGTTTGAACGGACTCCACAGCATACATTTTGTTCTGAATACTATCGTAATATGCAAGAATAATAACTACAAAACTTTTTTATTCAATTAATATCTATTTTTGATAATTGCATAAAGTTATTCCAAATTTTAATGTATTGGAATATTTTGTTTTATTTATAATACAATGATTTTTAAAAGTATTAAAAATGTTGTTTTCAATAATTAATAACTAAATTAATTTGATCCATTTATCAAGAAATGAAATTTGTCTTTTATAAAAAGAGTGGGTGTGGAACCATTTGAGTTTTTTGTTCTTTATCATAAAGCGTGTGAAGATAGTTGATAAGAACTTTTTATTCGTGATAAGATTGGTTGAAAAACATTTTCTCACATGATTGATACAAAATCATAACCAAGTTTTGAAATTAATTGAATTCTATATCAAGATCTCATCAAAAACAGCCCCCTCTTTCTGGGCTGTACAAAAATGTGCGCAAAGTATTAATAATGACAAAAATAGAACTTCAAAAAGTCCCAAAATCATTGAACGCCAATAATTTTAATCTAAGAATCAATAAAATTTAAAATGAATTGTTTTCTTAAGTTTTTTTGATTTTCCATTAGGAAGTTATTGAAATTGGATCGATTGGTGAAATTTGACTTTTCATCATATCTCTGCGCTACGTACGTACGTATGTCAGCATTTTTTTCGTTTTCGGTATCTCAAGAACGGATTAAGATATTGATTTTAACCAAAATTTATTCAAAAGATATGATTGCAAAGAAGATCTGAGTGAAATTTAAACAAATTCGGTGGATGTGTTTTTTTTATAACAAAAAAACTAATAATGAATATTATTATTAGTATTGTTTATTATAATGTAAGTATGTTATAAACAATTAAAAATGGGAAGTTCGTCATGTAAGCACAGACACAGTGTGCTTAGACCTATTTGTTCATTCAACTTAAGTAAACATTTTTATTTTTCATTGCATTTTACAGCAGTAACTTTCACCCGTGAAGCAAGACACAGTAGAATCGAAAAAAAAAAGTTTTTGGATGAGACACAGCTAACTTTTTAAAAATGTAGACAATTCGTACTTTGCGTCCAACATCTGTGTGTGGCTTTCTTTCTACTTCTGGCTCGTCATGTTTTTTCAGACATTCTACTTCTTTACGTCTGCGAGCTGGAAGATGCACGTCTACGGCCACGATCTACGTACAGGAGGGTGATCAACCTGGTCGTCAGCAATTGTTAATGAGAGCGCTGGAATGTTGTAAAAAAAGGGGTGTCTCAGCAAGACAAATTAGCTTAATTGACGTCCTCCAGATTGGAAGCTGGAAGCTTGTCGTAAGTTAGAAGAGTTGATCTAGCGGATCAACTCATTTGACTTAGCGAGTCAGGAGTATGTCTCTAGCGGAGACCTTAGACAGGAAGAAGTGTCCTGGTACAGACCTCAGCTCAATGCAGTAGAGTCTCTGGCGGAGACTTCTCGGTGGAGAGTCCAAGAGTTGAACTCACCGCTGGTGATGCTACTTGTGCTGTAGTAGGTCACTTGTTGATAGATAGCAATGTTTTGAAATCCAGTAAAATCACATAAACACAGCACTGACTATAACGACACGAAAATTGAATCTGCGAGAGCGATCGAGCTGCTCCAGACAGGCACCGAACAAGAACTGATTGAGTTCACCCTTTTTTGAAGGGAAGAGGATTTCCTTTGTTTTTTTGGAGGGAGAAAAACGGGCCCTAGAGAGGGAGTAGAGGGTAGGGTGGAAAAACTCCAGATGTGGAGAGTGTTTATTGTTTGAGGGCCAGAGGAAATCCAGAGTGTTTTAGGACCAGGAAAATCCAGAAGCCATATGTTTTGGCTTATGGGTAAATTTGTTATCTAGAGAGTGCTCTTACCTCTATAGACGAGCCAGTTTTATATGTTAAACACATACTCATAGAATATTTTCTTTGTTAGTGAAGTCCTGTTGATTGGCACCCTCAGACAGAGGGAATAGAGGCTCTACACTGAGAGAAGGGTAGAATGGAAGTATGCTTCACCTCGTTGAGGCAGTCTCGGGTGTTAGTGAAACGTCATTCTCAGTCTCTAAACCATCTGATATTGAAGAGTCTACCTGAGGCGTTGTAGGAGTAGTCCTCGGTCGTTTGTCAAAGTGAAATGAGTTGTAAAGCTCCTTCCAACTGCTTCGTAGCCTTCATCCGAAAAGGGTTAGTTGTGGAGGGCCGTTGCGAGACTATTTTCAGAAATCTGTGTAAGTCCCTTGCAGGAGTAGATTTTGTATCCATTTATGCATTCCGACATATATCTGTCTGAGGTCTTTATTTCCCTGTCCTGAGAAGGATATTTTATTTGAGTAACTCGCCTTATAGGGCATAACTCTGGGAATGGCTCTACTTCCAGTGACGGCGTTACTTGGGACGTGAAGCACCCGGTTTTCTGTATGTCGTTTTTCAACTTTGCAGCCCTGGATGCGGGCTTGGATTTCGATCTCCCGTAGTACCAGTTTTATTCGCTTTGGTCGGCGGCCCCAGTTGTTTATGGTGTGAGGGGAGCACCATTATATTGTCAACAGCTGAAATAAATGTTTAGTGTTAGGTGTTTCTTGAAATATATAAAAATTTTTACTGTTATTAAAGATTGTTAAGTAAAGGGAATGGAGAATAAAATCCCTATCCGTTTGATCCACAGGTTACAGGTGTTCTGCAAAAATTGCAGGCCTGCAACCTGTGCCTAGGTGCTCCGACAACACGCAGGTGTGGATCAATAAAGTTCACGAGCTATGTTTTACGACGCTGGTAATGACCTACTACTTCTACGGGGCTCAAACAATTCCTCTTCCGCGCACGCCTTGACAAATTGTTCGAGTGCCTTATATGTGTCCTTTGTTTAGACCAATTTTGACGCTATTTCAGGCCACGTTAGGCTGAGGTCAACGGTACGAAGTGTATATCGTGCTGTTCTGACTTGGTCTAAGGTACTCTATCGACGGCCTAACATTTTTCTCCCCACCGAATAATTAGATGACTTAAGGTCTCTCCTGCCAACTCATTGTCGCCAATTAGACAACTCTGATTAATTCCTAGACGTATATATCCCTTCTCGAAGGGCCGAGAAGCTTCGAGAACGCAGAGTTTTCGAGAAACACAGACGGGAGTCTGTATTCGCCGGTTACTGCGAGTATTCGTACGTAGCTCGTACTCGGACGACTCTTGGGCATCATCGGACGATGCCGACCCACAGACAACTCGTTTTAACAGTCAACTCGGTACGTGTGTACTAGCAGAGAGCTCACGCAGTCGAACTCTCTAGTGAAAACCCAGACAACTCCTCAGACATGGACTAACTCACCAGTTAATCATCTATAGTGATGATTATGAACTCATCAGGCAGTCTACCTCTTAGAAGACATCCTCAGGAAGCTCATGTTGGTCCGCATCAGCACCTTCTTACAAAAGGCGCGAATGATGTCGGCTTCGACGCCTCACGGCCTCATGGACAGACACACACACAAGATCCATACACGAACAACTCGCTTGTGTCTGTGTGGCTGACGTCAACACAATGAAACTCAGACTACTCAAAAAAATCAGGCTACTCCTGGTGCAGAGACCAGTACAGAAAAACTTACAACTTTCCTGTGATCCTCTACTCATCAGTCAACTTATCAGTGAACTCTGTATGAAATTTCCGTGAACTCAAGACTGTACAGACAATTCAAAGACTCTATTATTGTTATTTTTCCGTTACTGTGATTTTCGTGTTTAATAAATCGTTAACTGTTACTGTTAAATAGCGTCATTTTGATTATTTTATTTTTTAGAAATGGTTACCAATAATAAAAACAATCTCAAAAATTAGATATACCTCTTTATTGACAACACTAATTCTAGCCATGATCATTTTTTCATTATTAAAGAAGTTGAGAAATCCGAGAAATCGTCTAGGAACCGGTAGGAAGCACCTCCTATATATAGTTAGACAAGTGTGGTAATTAAGTCCCCAACGAATTCGCGAAAGGCGTCTCATCTTATGGAATAGTTTTTCCGCTTGCGCCCGTCGTTTATGAATATGTGTAAATATGTTCGGGTCTCTGCCGAACCAGACCCCCAGGTACCTAACGACCTCTGGGTACTTTATTTTGTTACCCTCTATAGTGATCTTCGGCGGTTTACATTTGTGCCTGTCTTTCTTTCTTCTGAAGTGTGGTTTATATTCTCGGTAGTTGGGATTATTTTCTTATGCATAGCATTTTCCATGTTCGGATTGATTAAGTGTTTTCAACAGATCATCGCCGTTAATGTTCCAGCACAGTAGGTCAAGCACAGATCCCTGAGGGCATCCTCGAGTGGCCACTTTTGTGACTGAGCCAGTTCCCCATGATAGGGTAACTGTACGATCTGTGAAGTAATTTTTCATTACTCTGTAGATATTTTTAGGGCAGTTTTGCCGTCGAGGACTAAAGGCCACCATACATTATCAAACGCGCCTGAAATATCAAAGAGCAATGCAACCACGTAACGTTCCGTGGACTCTTCGCACTGTAGGTTGAGAGCGTTTATCTTTATCCTGCTCCGTTGGTCTGTTTTCATTTCTGGATGGTCGTCGACCACGAGTACTGCCAGTAATCGCTTAACTGTTTATTGAAAGTTCAGGGTTCCATTACTCTCTTCAGTGCGAAGTGCATTCATGACTTTTTCGGCTCGCATTCTGTCGGCCGCAGTTTTGTATACCACACCCCATTTTTCCTCGTTTCCGTGGGTTGTGATGAAGTTTTTCCAGCTCTTTGTTTTCGCCTTTTTAATCGCTAAGGAGTACCTTCTTACCTGCTGGCGGTATCGAAGTCTCGGTGCTGTGATTCGGTGGGTATCGGCAATAAGCTTTTTGATGCGCTGGTATCTATGGCGCAGTCTATAGACATTACGCTTTAAACGGGACAAGTGGTTGTTCCATCAGGAATTCGCTTCCCTTGCTGCTTTTCGACGTGGCATGGATTTTTCGCAAAGATCTGTTAATCCATTTGCGAGAGTGTCAGCGGATCCATCAATGTTCATTGGAGAGTCCAGCGGAAAGTGTGCTTCCTAGCTCAGGCATCAACTTACCGAAGGCTTCCCAATCGGTGGCTTTGACATTGAACCGTCGGGTTGCCTCTGTGTGAGTTTCACCCTGCACTCCGCTTT